AGAAAAAAAAAAAAAAAAGAACTCCTGACACAAGTTTGGATGAGCAAACAAAACAAACAAAAACACATCCAGCCTTTAAAAAGTAAGTGGGGTTAAGATTTTAAGTAAACATAGGGACATTTACAGCCCAGGGGGCAAAGTAACAATACAAACATCTGTGTCAGGGAAATGTTTCTCAAGAGAGGAGGTGCCCAGTATTCTGAATCCAGAGCAGGGGTCCTCACTGGGGAGGGGAGGGGTGGCCCTGTGACATTCTGGTATAGAGATACACTGGGACCACTGTGGGCTAAAGAATGGAAGTTTGTGAATCATATACTTTTTAAAAATTAAATTGAATTTGAGTATCCAGATATACTTTCATTTATTTGTCTATTTTTAAACACAATTTTTAAAGAGCAGTTTTAGGTTCACAGCAAAATTGAGAGGGAGGTAGATTTTCTTCCCTACAAATCCTGTGTTATCTGCCTGTTCTTTCTTCCCCCAAACCCCAACCCCAAGCGACCGCTGGTCTTATCGTCTCCACAGTTTTGTCTTTTCCAGAGTGCCACAGAGTTGAAATCATACAGTATGGAGCCTTTTCCGATTGGCTTCTTTCACTTAATGTGCATTTAAAGTTCCTCCATGTCTTTAAGATTTTTTGGATGTGGACCTGTTTTTCTTTTCCTCTTTCTAAAATATTAATTTAAATGTTTATTTCCTCTTTTACATTTTGTATTATAAACTCATTTAAAGCTACAACTTTACAAATATTGACAAGCTAATTCTAAAATTCAAATGGAAATGCAAAGGACTCGAATAGCTGTAGTTTTTGGCTGCATCCCATTAGTTTGGACACATGCTACTCATAAGTTTTAAATATAATCTTAATTATATTTTTGATTTCTCCTTTAGTCCTAATAATGTTATAAAAGAGTGATTTTAAATATTCAAATTTGTTGCTGATTTAAAAAAATTTTTTTGCAATGGTCAAAAACATGATCTTGCAATTTCAAGTATTTTGGAAGTTAAAGAGAAATTTGAGGTTTTCTTTATGAACAATTTTTATAAAAGTTCTTCCAATTCTTGAAATGTCCTGCCCCGTAACTTTGAAAGTAAATATTAACTTAAGTTTCTACCATCTAATTGTTATATTTTGCCCATTGTGTATTGTGAGGCTAAGAATGAAAACCAAGTATTTAGTCAGTAGTTCTTTCTTTATGCCTATGCCGTCAAATCTTTTTTAGAGAGAAAAGAAATAGAAGTTTAATAGCTATTCTTAATGAATAGCTTCACCCTACTCGCTGTCATACAACATCTGAGAATTTTCAACAGGAAAATAACTGGCTGCTCTCATGTTCAGAAAGGGGAGATCTGAGGAGAATTATACCATTTTCATTAACCTGGGACACTTATAATCCTTTACCCCACAAACAGTTGCTGCAGTTCATTTTGTATTACTGCATATACTATGAACTCCTAACACAGGAAGTTAATTCAAACTATACTGTTGTCCTCCTAGACAAAGATAATGTACTGATAACAATGTCACTTCTTGTATTTACAAGTTCAGCGAAAGAGATGAAAGGGACACCCATTCCTCTTCTTGGGAATCACAAGTTGAATTCAGCACTGGTCATGCTAGATTTCTAAAGAACTAGGCACACAAAAACCAATAAGTAACCATGAGTCCATAAATAATCATTATTTCACTTAATTAAAGTATTCACTCTTTCTAGATAACATCTTCAAAATAGAATTTTTTTCTTTGATATTAAATTTTGTTGTTGTTGTTGCCATTGTTTTGTTGGTTTCGGATTACCATTAACTTTGGTAACTTCTCTTAAAAATAAGAGTAACAATTTTCCAACTGTACAGACTAAACTTATTACATTAAAAACCTGCTTTTTAAATTATATAAAGGGAATTAATAAGAAGTTCTCTAACTAAAAAAAATGTTTTTAATTAAAAAAAATAAGAGTAACAACAAAAAAAGAGTGACAATGTTAGGGAACTAATAGGTTTAACGATCCTCAAAGATATAACTCCAACCTTATGAATCCGGCGTCCTTAGGGCTAGCACAGAGCCTGGCACCTAGTAAGTCCTTCACAAATCTGTGTTAAATGAGCATATGTGGCACTGTCAAAGTGATGCAGTTCCAGAAAAAGCACTCTGGTGCCATCCAAGACAAATCACATACTTGCCGCGTGGTTAAGATCCCTTGACTTATCTGGTCCTCTACCAAAGCTTTTCTCTCCATTCTTGGAAGCCCTTTTAATCCAATTCTAGTTCTCTGGTGCTAACGTTTTCTTTACAGTCTATTAAAGGAGGAGGAGTCGGAAAGGGACAAGGGAGAGGAGGGCAAGAAAAGAAAAGGAAGGCGTACAGACCACAAAACTTCTCTACCTTCTCCATCTTACTGCTGTTTGCTCACAATGAGCCATCCAAAGTCCAGGAGGTTATGGTCTATACAGGTGTTCAATGAGGCGTCTCATTGTTGATGTGGACCATTTTTAAAGCCTTTATTGAATCTGTTACAATACTGCTTTTTTATGTTTTGGTTTTTTGGCTGCGAGGCATGTGGGATCTTAGTTCCCCGACCAGGGATCGAACCCGCACCCCCTGCGTTGGAAGGCAAAGTCCCAACCACTGGACTGCCAGGGAAGTCCCTCTCCATGCCTTTTCATGGCTTGATGGCTTGTTTCTTTTTAGTGCTCAATAATATTCCACTGTCTGGATGCACCACAGTTTGTTTATCCATCCACCTACTCAAGGTGTTTCCAAGTTTGGGCAATTATGAGTAAAGCTGCTATAAACACCTGTGTGTAGGTTTTTGTGTGGACATAAGCTTTCAACTCTTTTGGGTAAATGCCAAAGAGCACGACTGTGGAATTGTGTGGTATGAGTATGTTTAGTTTCATAAGAAAGTTCCAAACTGTCTTCCAAACTGGCTGCACCATTTTACACTGCAACCAGCAATGAAGAATTTCTGTTGCTCCACCTCCTCGCTGGCATTTGGTGTTGTCAGTATTCTGGATTTTGGCCATTTCAATAGGTGTGTTGTGGTATCTCATTGCTTTAATATGCATTTCCCTGAAGACACATGATGGGAAACAATTTTTCATATGCTTATTTGCCATCAGTATATCTTCTTTGGTGAGGTGTCAAAGTCCTTGGCCCATTTTTTAACTGGGTTGTTTTCTTATTGTTGAGTTTTAAGTGTTCTTTTTTTTTTTTTTTTCCGGTATGCGGGCCTCTCACCGCTGTGGCCTCTCCCGTTGCGGAGCACGGGCTCCGGACACGCAGGCTCAGCGGCCATGGCTCACGGGCCCAGCCGCTCCACGGCATGTGGGATCCTCCCGGACCGGGGCACGAACCCGTGTCCCCTGCATCGGCAGGCGGACTCTCAACCACTGCGCCACCAGGGAAGCCCATTAAGTGTTCTTTATATTCTGGATAAATCTTTTATCAGATGTGACTTTTGTAAATATTTTCTCCTAGTTTGTAGCTTATGTTCTCATTCTTTTGACATCGTCTTTCACAGAAGTTTTTAATTTTATTGAAGCCCAGCTTTTCAGTTTTTTCTCTCATGGATCATGTCTTTGGTGTTTTATCTAAAAAGTCATCACCATACCAAGGTCATCTAGATTTGTTTCGTATGTTATCTTCTAGGACTTTCACAGTTTTGTGTTTTACATTTAGGTCTGTGACCCATTTTATTTTTCCTTATATCTTTATTGGACTATAATTGCTCTACAATGTTGTGTCAGTCTCTGCTGTACAACAAAGTGAATCAGCTAAATGTATACGTATAGCCCCATATCCCCTCCCTCCCACCCTCCCTATCCCACCCCTCTACGTGGTCACAAAGCATTGAGCTGATCTCCCTGTGCCATGCAGCAGCTTCCCACTAGCCATCCATTTTACCTTCGGTAGTGTACATATATCAATGCTATTCTCTCACTTCATCCTAGCTTCCCCTTCTCCCTGTGACCCATTCTGAGTTAATTTTTGTGAAGAGTGTAAGGTCTGTAGATTCCTTTTTTTTTGCACGTGGATGTCCAGTTGTTCCAGCAACATATGTTGAAAAGATTATCTTTTTCCAACTGTCTTGCCTTTGCTCCTTCCTCAGAGGTCAGATGACTGTATTTACTGAGGTCTACTTCTGGGCTCTCTGTCCGGTTCCATTAATCTGTTTGTCTGTTCTTGCACCAATACCGCACTATCTCTCGATCACTGAAGCTTTATTTGAAGTCGGGTAGCATCAGTCCTCCAACTTTATCCTTCTCCTTCAATACTGTGTCGGCTATTCTGGGTCTTTTGCTCTCTCTGTAAACCTTAGAATCAGTCTGTCAATATCCACAAAATAACTTGCTGAGATTTTGATAGGAATTGCATTGGATCTATAGGTGATGTCTTGATGATATCGAGTTTTCTTGTCCATGAACATGGACTATTTCTCCATTTAGCTCTTCTTTGATTTCCTTCATCAGAGCATTCTTCATTTCTGTTACATTGTTGTTGATCTCTAGCACTTCTTTTTGGTTCTTTCTTTGGATTTCCAGCTCTGCTTGCATTGCGTGCTGCCTACTTTTTTTTTTTTTTTTTTTGCGG